TAAAGGGTAAAAACTCATTCAATTTTATGTCTTACAGGATTTATACTGAGTGCAATACTGTATAACAGTATTAATTCAACTGTGCACCTAAAAATTTACAGCCACTTTTGAAAGAGAGGTATCCTTGCTCTGGAATGTGTTACTGAATATGTTAAAGCTGTAATGAAACGCTTCTTCCAATCATGTGGTTATTAAATTAAAAAAATTAAAAAAATAAAAGATACAAAGTTTGGGCTGGAGAGATGTCTCAGCTGTTAAGAACACTGTTCTTGCAGAAGACCCGGGTTCGAATCCCTGCACCCACATGGCAGCTAACAACTGTCAGTAACTCCAGTTCCAGGGGATCTGACAGCCTCTTCTGTCCTCCGTGGGCACTGTACAACACGGGTGCACTTACGTGCAGGCAATATTTTATGTATAAACACATAAAATAAAAATAATAAAGAAAAAGTTTTAAAAAGATACAAGGTTTTAGTTGGAAGGAGTGAGTTGAAGAGATCTATCGTACATGGTGATTTCAGCTAAGAGCAATGTGCTATCTTCTTGAAAACTGTACGGTAGATTTTTAAGTACTGTCATTAGAAACTACGAAAAAGTATATGAGGTATGCATGTTATTCAGCTCCCTTTAACCATTCCATGACGCAGCCATAAAATGTCATGCTGTACACAACAAGTACATGCAATTTTATCTAACATTGTGTAAGTACATGCGTTTTAAGGAAACCTTACCTGGGAGCAATATCCAAGGCATTTATGATGGTCCCAGCGAGAGAGAAGCTGAGCGTTGAATTTGCAAGTGTCAGGAAAATCACAGTGCTGTAGAAGTTGAAGCTGAGGTAGAGCAGGCACATGCTGAAGGCCACAGGACAGAGAGCGCCTGGGGACAGAAGCAGGCCACAGGCTAGAGTTAGCACCGGGTGCTTCCTGAACGAGGGGCTGAACGGTCCCCTCGAATTTGCATGTCCTGCCTGTACCTTACCAAGTGCAGTGAAGATCTTCCGGACGGTGGCTATGCTGAAAATCTTCCTGGTCAGGAAGAAGTCGGACATCTGGCCTGCTAGGTTACCACAGATGTAGGCAAACAAATAGGGCAGGCTGGACAGCAGCCCATTCTGAGGAGGAAAAAGCTATGAGAGCATCTGATGACCAAGCAGCACCGGACAGTCACTTTTTCACCGAACTTCAGGAACTCATGTGGACTTTTTACCTAGTGGTAAAGCCTTTGCCTGGCATGTACAAGGTGCTGGCTTCAACTCCCAGTCAAATAAATATAAATAAATAAATAAATAAGTAAATAAACAAATAAATAAAAATGTGTCTTTTTATATATTAAAAAAACAACATACAAAACCATAACTGGTCTTGTCTGGTGTCACATGGTCCAATGTAGAGAGAAAAATAGTTCTGTGGTTGGTAATAATTGTCATAATCTTCTCTAGTATTTTTGTGTTTAATTTCATAGGACCTGAAAACACTGGATACAAGAGAAGATGGTGTCATCCCTGAGCAAAATGGTACATCTGATGCTAACAGTCGGTGACATTCACATGGTGTTGGTTCTAACCGGCCATGATTAATTCTCACAAGGACCCTTGTTTTCATCTAAGATGAAACTGAATCAGTAAGAGTTCAGATGAACTCAAGGCCGCGCTGGCTCCTAACCCCAAGGTGCTAGTATACTACGGGAGGCGCCAAAGTCATGAGCTCAGGCTCCATTACTAAGGGAGTCTGTTCTGGTTACTTTGGTATCAAATGACAGGCGTTTCCAAGCATTATTGATTCTCAGTATCAGATAAGATATTGGAGTTCTTTCAGAGCAAGACCCAATTCATGGAGTCATGGTCCAGGCCTCATGATCTTATTCCAAAAGAGAGGGTTGGTGAGAGCTGGGCTCAGTGGCAGGGACTCCATTCCCCACCGGGGACGGTGTGGCCAAGTCTTTTAGTTGTTGTTTGTTGTTGTGATTCTTTGGGTTTTGAAGGACAGAATCTCACATGTAGCCCAGGTTGGCTTCAAACTTACAGTAACTGGCCTGCCTTGGTCCCTAAGTGCTGAGATCAGAGGCATGTAACCACCATACCAGGCTTGTAACAAGTCTTTAGTAACATGCAAAAGCGCTCATGCAAGGGCAGGAGATAGAGCAGTTGTGGGAACATGGATACACATACATTATGGAGTTCTAGGCACTATTTATAAAAACAACCTTTTAGTGGGCAGAGTTCACGTATAGGAAACTATGTGCCTCTGCATGGAGAACACTAGCTAAGCAGGGTAGGAAGGCAGGCAGGGACTGTGGTCATGAAAGGTGAAAACGAGAGCATATGGTGCACTTACCTCTCTCACGTTGACATGAAGCACAGAGCTGATAAACATTGGACTGTATGTAACCAGCAGGGTGTTGGACCATATGAAAGCAGAGCAATTGAGAATGATAGCCCAGAGCGGAAGAGACGTGAGCATAGCTCTGATTGGCAGAGACTGCCTGCGTGAGCCGACCTGGAAATGCAACCCGGGATGGTTGAGAAGGAGGACCAGCTGGAACTTGTTTCATCTGGTGCAGAATCTAGGAGATGCACACATGAGGCCTGTGCTCTACCTGCTGGGTGAGGGAAGATGTGATGTGCTCTTTCTCAATGATGCTCATATATGGGTGGTCCTTGGGGTCATCATAAAACAGAACGAACCAGGAAAGACTCAGAACACAGCCCAAAGCACCTAGCAGAGAATCACAAGATACAAGGGAAGTTTCTACCTGTTGCTTGGAGCAGGTACATGTCAGAGCATCAGCCTGAGGATCTACATATTTCCTTTCCTTTCTGAAACTGTGGCAAGGCGAACATTACTGACAGTCTTCTTTGTGACCACAGCTGTAACTGTTATAATTGTTGCTGCAGACAATTGAGTCCTTCCTGTTGTTCTGATGCAGAGTCCCTCTGCTTACCTGGGCCGCTCTTATCTTTGCAGATTTGGAATGGGTTCTACATCAAAAGCATGACATGCTGCGCTGGCACAGAGCTAGACAACCATCCACTTGCAATCGTTGCTTGCTGCTGAGGATGAATTCAGGGGCTTGTGAGGGGCACTATTTCCTCATCGTGACTCTGCCTTTTGCTCACTATGGGAACTGAGTATTTTCTTGTGCTCCTCTGACCCACTCTGCCCCCCTCACCCTCCTTTGGCCATGAATGGCTATTTTGATGATAAGCATCAAAAGGCCCCCAGTCCTCTGCTTTCCCGTTGAACTCGGTCAATAGGGAGCCTGGGAAGGGACGAGAGGGAGAGCATTAGGAAGACTAGGCTATCCTGTTAAACACTACACATTTCTCTCCTGGATTACGATTGTTCCTTTGTGACTAGACAGGGGCCGGTCTGGAGGACTTCCTAATGTGCTCTGACAGCTGCTTCCTCACTTGCTCCCTTTGAGCCTAGGGATGATGGTGGGTCTTGTACTCTACCCTCAAATTATGCCTCTGTAATTCCACACCATCTCCCGTCTGTCTTTAAATAAATAAAAAATCACTTGCTAAACTAAATAAATCCCGCGTCTACCTTACATATGACTTTGGACACTGGTTTGAATGTGAAATGTTTTTGAACACTTTGCCTCCAGCTGGTGGCGAAGCTCTGAAAGGCTGTGGAAGCTTTAGGAAATGGAATCTTGTTGGGAGGAAGTTAGTCACTGGGGCACCTGGAGGTCTGATAGCCTGGCCCCACTTCCTGTCAGCTATTTCCTGGTTGTAGATTTCTGTTCTAGTCTGTTCTCCATTGCTGTGACAAATACTCTGACCAATACCCACTTGAGGAAGAAAGGGTTTATTTGGCTTACATCTCCCAGGTCACAGTTCATCAGGGAGCCCAAGGTAAGAACTCAGGTCAGGAACCTGGAGGCAGGAGCTGGAGCACAGGCCTTGGAGGAATGTTGCTTACTGGCTTGCCCCCCACCAACCCCCGTGCTCCGCTTGAGTTCTTATATAATACAGAACAATCTTACCAGAGGTGGCACCACCCACAGTGGACTGGGTCCTCCTGCATCACACAACAATCAAGAAAACACCTCACAGACACAAAAAAAAAAATAGATTGAACTCACTGAAGCAGAGAGCAGATGGGAAGTTAGAGTCCAGGGGTTAAAGGGATGCTTAGGAAGAGGCTGATTAAAAGAAACAGCACCCACATGGCGGCTACGAACCATCCTTATCCAGTTCCAGGGGAATCCAAAGCACAACACGGGTGCACTCACATACATGCAGACAATACACTCATACGCATAAAATAAAAATAATAAATAAAAATATTTTTTAAAAAATACAAAGTTTCACAGTAGGTCATACCAAGATCTAGACAGGCCAACTAGACTCCAGTGGATGAATTTGCACACAAAGGACATCTGGTACAAATGCTTGACTGGATAGGACTTAACATGTATAT